GCTGTCATTGCTGTTTGGCGGCCCGGGCTGGATTCGAACCAGCCACCTTAGGTGTATGTGGCTGGTGCCTTAGCCACTTGAGCCACAGGTGATGAGCCTACATTTGTAATTTTAATCTTTACTGCTAAATTTCCCTCCATAGGTAGAGTACCAATTTACATAGGGTTAGTACTCAGTTTATACCAGTAATTTTTTAGAATTCACATTGCCCTAAACATGGTGTCCATAAAGTTTGTGTGCAATTTTGTAAATTGCACATGAACTTTATGGACACCCTATATTATCGTCAACAATGCATTACCAAACTTTTGAACTTTTACCAATCAGATGTAAAAAGTATTATCTTGGGTACTTTTTTTTAATTTTAGAGACTTTATCACCCTAGGTAGAGTGCCGTGGTGTCACACAGCTCACAGCAACCTCCAACTCCTGGGCCTTAAGTGATTCTCTTGCCTCAGCTTCTGGAGTGGCAGGGACTACAGGCACCCACCATAACACCTAGCTATTTTTTTGTTGCAGTTCCACAGGGGCCAGGTTTGAACCCGTCACCCTCGGTATATGGGGCTGGCACCCTACCCACTGAACCACAGACACCGCCCACTTCTTTTTTTTTGAGACAGAGTCTCACTCTGTCGCCCTGAGTAGAGTGCTGTAGTGTCATAGCTCACAGCCACCTCAAATTCTTGGGCTTGAGTAATCTTCCTGCCTCGGCGCCCCCCCGCCACCGCTCCCGAGTAGTTGGAACTCTAGGCACTGGCTACAGTGCCTGGCTAGTTTTTTTCTACTTTTAGTAAAGATGGGGTCTTAATCTCGCTCAGGCTGGTCTTGAACTCCTGAGTCCTATCAATCCACCCCACCCACCTCAGCCTCCCAGACCCATCTGGCCTCAGGTATTTCTAATTTGCATTTCCATTATTATAGGAGAGACATCTTCTCATGGTTCACAAACACATTAATAACATTTTTTTTAGAGGTCAGGTCTTACTATGTTGTCCAGGCTAGTCTCAAATTCCTGGCCTCAAATAATCTTGCCATCTCAGCCTCTCAAAGCACTGAGATTATAGGAGTGAACCACCGTGCCTGGCCGATTTATGGATTTTTTTTTACCATTACTGATTTCTTCCTTCAGTTTTTTTTAGGTTTATTGTCCTTTTTCTAGCTCATTGACTTGAAAGCTCAATTCACTTACATTTTTTTCATACGGACAAATAATCATATATATTTACTTTTAATTCTCACTTATTTCATTTGCATATATCATCTGTATTTTATGCCTGCCCATATTGTTTGAATGTTTAAAAGAAGTTATATTATTCATGTTAAAAAGAAAAAGATTACAGACTGGGTGTGGTGGCTCATGCCCATAATCCTAACACTCTGGGAAGCTGAGGCAGGAGGATCACTTGTGCTCAGGAGTTAAAGATCAGCCTGAGCAAGAGCAAAACCCTGTCTCTACCAAAAATAGAAAAATTAGTCAGGCCTCATGGAGGGCACTTGTAGTCCCAGCTACTTGGGAAGCTGAGGCAGGACAATTATTTGAACCCTAGATTTTGAGGTTGCTGTGAGCTAGGCTCACATCAATCTAGCCTAGGCAACAGAGTGATACTGTGTCTCAAAAAAAGAAAAAGATAACAAAAGAAAACATTACAAAAATCAAAATAGCTGGCTCGGCACCCATAGCATAGTAGTTATGGTGCCAGCCACATACACAAAGGCTGATGGGTTCGAATCCAGACTGGGCCTGCTAAAACAACAGTGACAACTGCAACAGAAGATAGCTGGGCATTGTGGCGGGCGCCTGCAGTCCCAGCTACTTGGGAGGCTGAGGCAAGAGAATTCTTAAGCCCAAGAGTTTGAGGTTACTGTGAGCTGTGATGCCACAGCACACTACTGAGGGCAACATAGTGAGACTCTGTCTCAAAAAAAAAAAAAAAAATCGAAATAGCTGATCAGGACCAGAACTACAATGAAGGGAGAGGCACTCACATTAGGTACAAAATGTAACAGGGTGTGAAAAAACTGAGTAATCAAGGAAACAAATATTTTGATGCAGTGTTTTAGAATATCAAATTGAAAAACGACAGCCTGGGCTCGGCGCCTATAGCTCAACCGGCTAAGGCGCCAGCCATGTACACCTAAGGTGGCGGGTTCGAATCCCCAGCCCGGACCCGCCAAAAAAAAAAAAAAAAAAGAAAAACTACAGCCTGCAAGCTAGCTACCTCCTTCTATTTGTAAATAAAAATTTACTAGACCCAAAGGCAGAATTAGGGTAAGGCAGTGAGGTAGGGTTCAGCAAGTGCAGGAAAAGATCCCACCTTTTAAAAATACTTTAATGTTTTATTTATCATGAATTTTCCGAGTCAATTTTGAATTTTTAAAATATTATATTAAAATTTATTTTTATTTGAGACAGAGTCTCACTATGTAGCCCTCAGTAGAGTGCTGTGGCATCACAGCTCACAGCAACCTCAAACTCTTGGGCTTAAGTGATTCTCCTGCTTCAGCCTCCCAAGCAGCTGGGACTACAGGTGCCCACCACAATGCCCAGCCATTTTTTTATTCGTGTTGCAGTTGTCATCGTTGTTTGGCAGGCCTGGGCCGGGTTCAAACCTGCCAGCCCCAGTGTATGTGGCTGGCGCCCTAGCTGCTGAGCTACAGGCGCTGAGCCTAAAATTTATTTTGATTGCTGAGATTTTTGGCACCATCTTAAATTTTATACCCAAACAAAGACCTCACCTGGATCCAGCCCTATAATTGACTCTTGAAAGTGGTATAATAATGTCTTCCTTTTTTTTCAGGGTAACTGAGATATTTTACTTAGGAAGAATAAAGAGAAGTTTAGAGCACTTCTAAAGAGAGTTGGCTAGGAGGCCGAGGCAGGTGGATTGCCTGAGCTCATGAGTTCCAGACCAGCCTGAGCCAGAGCGAGATCTCATCTCTAAAACTACCCAGGCGTTGTGGCAGGTGCCTATTGTCCCAGCTACTTGAGAGCCTGAGGCAAGAGAAATCTCTTAAACCCAAGAGTTTGAAGTTGCTATGAGCTGTGACGCCATGGCACTCTACAAGGGCAACAAAGTGAGACTCTGTCTCAAAAAAAAGTAATAAGGAGAGTTGGAAGTGGGTCCCTGTCATGAAAGAGAAAAGGTGACAGAGAAGAGGGGCAAAGGTCTACCGGGTTATTAAATACTCCATTTGAGGCTCGACGCCTATAGCTCAACCAGCTAAGGCGCCAGCCACGTACACCTAAGGTGGCGGGTTCGAATCCCCAGCCCGACTGCCAAACAACAGTGACG